TGTGCAATATCTTAGCTGTTCCTAGCACTGCACTCTTCTGGACAGAGAGCTCGGATGTTGTCCCTGGGATCTGTTGCAGCCACTCTCCCAGCTTAGGAGTTACAGCCCTGAGTACTCCTACCACCAGTGGGACCACTTTGGCCTTTACTTTCCACATCCTCCTTCAGGCCCTGTTACTTCTTCAGCTTCTCATACTCCTTCTTCCTGATGTTGCTGTCATTTGACACCACTACATCTATCACCACCGCTGTCTTCTGGTCCTTGTCTACTACGACAGTGTCTGGTTGATGGGCCAGTACCTGCCTGTCCGTCTGGATCTGGAAATCCCACAGGATCTTAGCCCTGTTATTTTCCACGACCTTCTGTGGAATCTCCCATCTGGACTTGGGAGAGTCTAGCCCATACACTGGACAGATGTTCCTGTACACAATGCCAGCTACTTGGTTGTGCCGTTCATTATATGCTGTTCCTGCCTGCATCTTACATCCTGCCACTAGTGGCAGGGTATAATTTTTATATATTTATATTTTCTGGTCTTTGATACTGATATCTTCTGGTATTTGTAAAATCTTCATAATTTTACAAACTGCTCTGTAAATGTATGGAAACTGACAGTTGCCATTCCTTGTATCCAAACTATGCATAACTTATTTATTTTCCACAATGAAATGATAGTGTCAGTTAAAGTTCAACTGTGTATAACTCTGATCCCTGAAACAGATGTTTGAGGAAACATTCTTTTCCGTGGCACCAACTTCTGATTGTGCTCAAAATAAGGAAGCGGCTGGATATTTTTCAACACTGTTAATTTACATTTGAGAGAAGCTCATATTCAAACATTCCTGGAAATTGGCCAAGGGGCAAAATAATAATAATCTAAGAATAGGGATCACCTGCTGCAAAATATAGAAAACAAGATGTAAGCCAAATAGTAAGGTCATATTCAGCCTGGCCATTACAGTAAGCTACTGCAAAATTAAAATTGATAGAAAAGAATTATAAAGTTCCTTAAGACTGACTTATTATCTGAACTTGGGCCTCATTGACCCACTTTGGCATGTGGGTCAAATTCAGTCACTTAAGCACACTGATCTGGCTTTTAGAGAGCTGCCTAATTTCACCCATAACAAATAAAATAAAGCTACATTACATTTTTTAAAATCACTATTGAGTCAGATAAATGTTTGAATTTTGTCTGAATAGGATCAGCAAAATGTCTCCAGAAAGATCACAAACATGGCATTAAGAAAATAATTCTAGTGTTTATTTCCCAGCAAATGCTAACTAAAAGTGACAGTGGAGATCATTTAGCTACCATGATAAACTTAGTGCCTATGACTTTCCCTAATTTGCTTTTAACCATATCTGTGCTGGTTCCATCATCACACAACAGCAAATTCCCTGGTTACTGAAAACGTTATTCCATGCCTTTCAGTTCCAGGAGGGCTTATAAGAATATTTTGAAACTGTCAAAAAAGCAGTAAGATTCCCCACCATCACCACATACACATTAACAGAGCAGAGCATAAAGTGGAAACCAAATTAAAAGTAGTTTCATCTGTACAGTAGGAAGTAAAAGCTCTTTGTCTATCAGGACATAAGGGAAAGTATATGCGAGGCAGACCTCACAGGAGAACTTGTCCATTTGCTTCAAAGCTTGCTCCTGTGTCATCCATCAGCTAGCTAGCAGTAGGTTAACAAGGGAGGTTCCTCAAGAACGTGTCCTGTAATGTACAAGGTTTTGCATTATTATAGGTGATCTTTTAGACTCTATCTTTTAGTCCCACATTTTATAAAGCCTGAAAGGTTAACATGTTTACACTGCAAGAAAAGTAGCTTTAAAAGGAGAATACATATCCTAATCAAAACAATCATATTTTAGACTGCTTCAGGTTACTCTGCATTAGAGTGAGTGGTAACTGGAGGAAGGACCGTATTATCTCTGATCTGAGGCTTAGTTGGTGAATACCATTTCATTCCACAGA